CTGCGACAGCGCCAACCACCGTCGAAGCACCCTCTGCGGCTACTACATCAACCATGCAGATCGACTTGACGGACGAGAAATCGTCGCCAGAGGCTGCACCGACGACGTCCTCGACCACAGCAGGCGCGGCCTCGTCGCTGCTGAGCGAGATGGACCTGTCTCTGCCGTTTCAGTTGCCGCCATCGTCGTCGTCCACCAACGCCGCGCCGGTTCCGTCCGCCCCACCGCCTTCCTCGTCGACGAGCACAGCTGCCGCCGCCGCCTCGTCTTCGGCACCGCTCTCTTCCGACGTCAACAACAACCTCGGCGACACCACCTCAATGACTGCCTTCCCAGACAGTACCGCCGACGACATTGACGCGCTCCTGTCGTCCCTCAACATGCCAGCCTTCTCTTCCGCCTCTGCCTCTTCCGCGTCTTTATCCCACACCGGTCCCAATGCCCCGTTCAGCACTTCAAGCTCGACGATAGTTGCTCCCACCTTCGGCGAGGATGACTACGCCTCGCTCTTGCTCGATCCGAGTCTGGCCAACAACAACCACGATGGTGGCAGCGGCGCGGGTGGCGGCGGCGGTGGAGGAGCGGGCTCGGCGGCGCATGGGCAGGCGACCGGGCTCGGACTCGGACTCGGACTGGACGTGGCACCCCCCGCGGTAGGGACCGTCACGGGAGGCGGTGGCAGCAGCAATGGTGGCGGCGCGGGATCCTCGAGCGGCGGGACTGGCACGTCGGCGCCTGGGTCGTCCGGATCAGCAGCGACGACGACGACGACGAACACCGCCGCTACTTCTGGGACAACGACCCGGCCAACACCGGCGCCAGCGCCAGCACCGGCAGCAACCGCGATCCCAGCTTCAGAAGAGTTTGACTTTTCCAGCTTTGATTTCGCTTCCCTCGGACTCGCGCCGCCGCCGCCGCCGTCGTCGTCCTCGATGGGGGGTTCGTCGAGTGCAGTACCAGCAGGAGCGTCTGATCTCGACTTTTCGATCCTTACCTCGGGAAGTGGTACGAATGGCAACCCCGGAGGAGGGTCTGGTGCGCCTTCGACCGACATAATGGACATTGACGAGTTGTTGAAAAGTCTCGGAGGCGCGTAGCTGTAATGTGATGGCGCGCGTGTACACTCTATTACGCTGCGGCACAAGTACTTTACGGCTGTCGGCAGCAGCTGAAAGAGATCGATGGAGTTGGGCCCCCTCGTTTTCGATCTCGCGTTCCTCCGCTCCCCAGCTCTGTCCCACGATCTTGACGCCCACGCCGCTCGTGCTTCATCAGAATAAGCGGCTGCTAGCCGAGTTAGCCGGTAATCTCGAGTGCCCGCAACGTCGCCAAGAGGCTTTCCCGCGAGGCAATAATGTCGGCCGCTGCAGCTGCTGCCTCTTCGACGACGTCTGGCAACAGCTTCGCGTCGACTTCAAAGACGCCGCTCCCACCGCCGATGAGCGTCGCAGGACTCGCGGATCAGGCCGTCGAGCAACAAGGCGCCGCGGCATTTCCTCCTCCTCTACCCCCCGCACCGACGACAACGACGACGACGACGACGACGAAGAGTCGCATCCGTCGAGCATGCGTAGCGTGCTTCACCGCCAAAGTCCGTTGCTCGGGCGAAGCGCCCCATTGCGCGAGGTGTTTGCGCAAGAGCGTCGAGTGCTACTACGACCCGGCGGGCAATTCGAGAAAAGGCCAGCAACAACAACAGCAGGGGCAGCAGGGACAGTTGAATCAACCGAGGAAGAGACGAGGGTCATCGTCTACGGAGAGATTGCATCACCAACAGCAGCAGCATGCGAACGACGATCCGTCAGCAATGGCGGCGGCGGCGGCGGCGGTGGGCAGGGCGGCGAGTTTCAGTGGACCTTCGATTGCAACCGGAGGAGGAGGGATCGGTCCGCTACTCGCGCCCGAGTCGAGCGAGGGAGAAGGCTCGCCGACCACCGCAGTACCGCCCATCGTCGTGCGACAGCCGTTCTTCCGCTGGCTAGGTGAGGATTGCTTCCTTTTTAGGGGGAGGGTTGTCTCGGCGCCCGTCCATCGCTCACGTGTTGAATAACCAAATGCACGAACAGGTTTGACGTCGGTCGCTCCGCCCGGTCCCGGCGCGCCATTCCGTTCCCTTTCCGTCGTCGTGGCCGAACGCGATCCCTCGACCACGACCGGACGCTCTCCCACGTCTCCAACTCCGATCGACCCCTTGCTCGAGTCCGCCGATGCTGAATCGACAATACGGACTTTCTACACCTTGTTCGAGAGTTACCTGCCCTACATGCCGCTCGCCGACACGCTCGAGAGCTTGTCTCGAGGGACTCTGAGCGAGTTGGTGTTGACGTGCATGCACATGCTTGTCAAACGGTCGGTCCAGTCAATTCGGAGTGTTCATTGAACAGATCTCTGAGCTCGTCCCGTCTATGCAGGATGCGACCCGAAACGCCATGTCCGGCAGCCGAAGCGCTCGCCGATCGCGCCAAGGCTCTCATCGTCGCGCACTTGGCCCTCCCATCCCTCGACATTGTCTACAGTCTTCTCCTTCTCGCATATCATGAGCACGGCGCGGATCGAGACAGCGGCTTGTGGGCGTACAGCGGAATGGCCATCCGGGCTTGCATCGATATGGGCTTGCACAAGGTGTGTTCGCGCGCGCCGTCTCGAACATGCTCTGTTGGTGACGATCCGCAAACACACACACATACAGCCGTTCGCCACGCAGGACGCGGCCGAGGCGGCTCTGCGATCTCGCATCTTTTGGGCAGTCGTGTGCCTCGATCGGATCATCTCGTGTGGAACCGGACGAGTCGCAACGTTGCCTCTTTCTCAGATTGACGTGCGCAGATGCGACCTTTACCCTACTCGGAGGACTCGCGCGTGTGCTTACCGACTCGCCATCTCTGCAGGTCGAACTACCGCCTCCTCGAGACTCGGTCCGCACCGCCCAAGGTGTCGTCCTGCCCGATCCGTTCCCAGTCCTGTGCCGCCTGTTCCTCATCCTCGGGAACGTCTCCGACGCCGTCAACTCGGACTCGTCGCCGACAAGCGTCCCGCGGGTGCCGCATGCGGTCCAGCTCGAGCTCGCGGAATTCCAAGCGAGTTTACCCGCCGCGCTCCAGTTCTCGATCCCGACTTTCAGCGCGTACGTCAGCGCCGGGTGCGCTCCCGCCTTCTTGCTTCTCTCGATATGGCACCAGGCGATCCATCTCGCGATCCATCAAGCCGCCCTCCTGTTCACGCAACCCGGCACCGTCGACCCGGACGGCGGCCGGCTGACGCCTCAGAGCGGTTCGACCGCGATCAGCATCGGCGACATGCTCGCCTACTCGGGTCTGATCTCGAACGATGCCTTTTTGTGCACGCCTACGCTCTCGCAGCCGATCATGATGGCCGGTCGAGCCGCATCGGCGTTGCTCAAGTCGTTACCGCAGGATACGCCGAAATACCAAGTCGAGCCGCTCGAGCGCGCCATCGTTATTTGCCAGACCACTCTCGAACGGATGCAGCGACCGTGGCGCGGCTTGTCGTGGCACCTCGAGTCGATGACCAAGAATGCGCGCGAGATCGACATGAGCCACGTCGGTTCGCCGATCACGACTGAGGACCGGGGTATGCTCGCGAAAGCGAGGATGGACAACTGGGCGAGGAAGTGCTCGCAGTTGCTGGATCAGCTTTCGGCAACTCCCGCAGAGGGCGAAGGTGCGTTTGGTTCCGATCGCAGGGGGTGTCGGAGAAGCGCTGTGCTGATACTCGTCCCTCTTGACTAGTGGTCGGCTTTGGCCTCTCGTCCTGGGGCACCACTTCCGCGCCGGGTGCTCTGACTCCGCTCGCGCACCCGACCGTCGCTGTTCTGCGATCCGGTCGGACTTCGCCCCTTCTTTGGCAGGACGATCTCGGGAGCCGAGATTTCCTCCTCCAAGAGAATCCGGGATTCTGGGCGGGCGACTGGCTGTCTGTACAGGCAGGCCAGTCGGATGGGATGATCGGCACTGGGGGGAACATGGACGCCTCTGCCTTTCTGACTCGTCCCCAGTGAGGCTGCGCCGGAATTTTTGGGCGTAAAGGCTGCAGAAGTGACAAATCAATTGCACAATTCCTGTCCTTTCTAGCCTTCCAGTCTGGATTCGGTCCGGCGTCCCACCAGCCGCGATCAAGTGTGCGCGTACGGTATTTCTGTCCCGCAAGCAGCAGCATGTTGAGGAGAGCGAGGTTCAGCAGCGAAAATCAGTCCTGAACTTGCTGAGCGGAGACCCGGTATCGAGGTCCATATATTTTGGTAGAGCAGCCAACGCAGAAGCTGTAGCTGCTATAGGTGTCAGGTCTGAGTTCATATGGGCGCCGCGTGTCTAGCACGTGCAAAAACTTCCGCAATTCAACGCATCGATGTTCAACGAGGCCCGTCGTAGCCAGGTGCTGGCATCTCTGCACAGCTTGTTGTGCGTAAGAACCAGATGACTGGAAATCAGTGGTGGGCTGCCGATGCCTGGTTGGGCCTCAATTCGGGTGATGCGCTGCTCATATGGCGATTAAGTCTCACGCGGCCTCGGACCTGGGGGTGCCTTATCAGGCCAGCTGGTACAGCTTCGAGGAGTCCGACTCCGCTGCACTGCAGAGGACGGAGAACGCGCTATGCCGAGGGAATCTGGCCGAAACACTCTTGGGTTCGGAAGGGAGAGGTCGACCTTCTCAAAGGACTCGAATGCACGGGACGTCATCTGTAAGGGCCCTGTACACACCAATAATAGACATGTATGAGGCACCTGACAGAGGCTGAATTGGACAGGTAGCAAGACAGAGTGAGAATTGCGGAGGCAAAGAAGGGGGGGACTAGCTATGAAAAGGCTCCAACGGGATTGGGTTGACGGTCGAAACTAGATTCGGACGTCCTCGCGGGCTTTTGGCTTTTGGCTCTGGGGATGCTGTGGTTCATGCTGAGACGAACGCGAGTCCGCACGGGCCGGTCCGTCCAGCTAGTTGGCCCGATCAGTACGCAAAACAAAACCTGATGTTCTAACAACGTCTCTATAGCTCAGTGGCAGAGCGGCAGACTGCAATGAACTGTGTATCTGTAGGTCGCCGGTTCAATCCCGGCTGGGGACTCTCTTTTGGCGCGCCTAGAGACCGTCTGGTCGGCTAGAAAACGCTCCAAAGGTTTTCCGTCTTTTTGGTTGCTCCGGGCTGTCCCCGCTCACCCCGCTCAAGCACATACTTGACTACAGGTCCAGACACGTCTTGAGCAAAGCTTGAGCTACACTTTGTATGCTGGATTAGGGACCCCTAACAAAACTCCCCTGTGCAGTAGTTGTGATCCCTTTTGAGAACCCCGATTCTGCCACTTGTCCTTTGTGACAGATTTGCTGTGCATGCTCCAGATGAGCCACTGCAGTGAGTATACTCCTAGTACATGAACAACAGTGTGTTGACCTCAAGGCCTGTATGACAGAGCAACAATGAGTTCGGAAACTAGTTTTCCCAAAACAGGACCCACCTTCATTGCAGCAGATGTGCTTGCAATGACCTGGTGTCCCATACTTGTAGCAAGACATGCAAATAACAATTACTGCTCACAGTGCTGCGTGATCAGGACACGCAATTCAAAAACAGACTTCTTTTGCGGCATCAGTGCAAGAGCTGTTCTCAGGACTTGATCCTACAGGCCAATAGATTGCCAGTGCAAGTGTCTGCTTATGGCAAAGTGGGCAATGACTCTTTTTTTCTTCTTTTTTTTTCTGAGTTCTGTACAATGGCAGTCTCCAGGCATAGACTGGAGTCTGGACATCAGTGAAGGTCCTGATCCCAGATCCTCCACTATCCACACTGTCCTTGCTTGACCATAATCTTGCTGGCCAGACATCATACAATGACCATCAACAAAGACAGCGCCAACAGTGATATGGACAAGTTTGTGCCGCAGCTGAATCGATCACAAGTCGACGTATGCCATGAAAGCAATCCACCCGTGTTAGCCGTTCGCCTTCTTCTCCGACTCCAACTCCGGCTTCCCCTTCTTCGCCCCACGTACAAGGGGAACGAATCGGACTTGCCTCCGTCATATCGACAAATTGGTTCTCGGTTTTGGAGGACGAGTCTGCACCGCCTACGCCGCTCGAGCCCCTTCACTCAACTCCGGCGTCTGGACTTGTAGATGTTTGTTCGACTTCTTCTTTTCCTTCTTCTTCTCTCCAGGTCACTTCCACTCTCTGATTGGAATACAAAGCTTGATTCACTGTCTCTTGTGACTGGAGATACAAGCTACAAGTCCACCTTCGCGCGAGTCGTCCGTTTCGAGGCAACTTGCTTCCTCGCGGACGGTACGTCTTGCAACACGAGTACCTTGTTGACCGGCTCTTGCAGCAGGTCACGTGTGACAACGTAGCCGGCGTGACCGCCCCGACTTGCACGAGGACCAAAGAAAGCCTCGCAACCGACAAGCGAGGAGCGAGTAACGCCTTTGCCGACGACAAAGACGTCGGTGGAAGCATCCTCCTCTGGGGCGAGTACGCCTCGCCGCAAAAAGCTCGTCGCTGCCTGCTTGATGGCAGCAAAAGCCGGACGTCCACCTTTGGTACCGACATCAATTGTATTGCCTGCCTCTGACGGATCGACTTCCGACTGCCAGAATGTGAGCATGTCGACAAAGTGACGCCTGATGGCGTGCTGAATCTGCTGCTGAGCGTCAGTCGGACTGCGTTCAGGCAGGGCGGGTTGGTTGAGGTCTTCCTGGCACGCGTCCGCTGCGGCACGGAAGGCGTGCTGACGAGAAAAGGCTGACTCGACAATCTCGAGTCGTCTTCCACCTCTGGCCAAGTTGGTTGGGAACGATCAACAAGCGGCAATGATAACTGCTCGATGGCGAGGTCGTCGACGAGCCGGCCTGAAATTGAGTTCACGATTGTGTATCCGCCATAGCTCAGTGCCACGTCGGAGGCATACTCCGGCTCCTTGTCCTTCAGTGACAACAAGCCCGAGATGATCGTGGACGCCCAGGCCAAGTTGGTGTAGTGGTCGCTTGCGTAGCGCCGCATGAAATCCAATGCATGCTCGAGCAATTCGAACGTCACGAACCGCACGTAGAATCGAGCGAGTCTGTCAGTGGAGGACCCGCTCAACTTGTTTGCGGTCGTGTCTTGATTGCTCAGCGGGTCGCCGGTAACGATCGGTGTGGCGGGCGTGCTGGGCGGCTCGATGAAGGGTTTGTCGACGAGGTGCAGGAGGAAGGCGCGGGTTTCCTCGCAGGCTTTGATCGTGCTGAAAACGACGCCCTCGCGCTTCAACGGAGGATGAGGGAACGCACTCTCGTCCGAGACGAGCGTTGATGACGGCGAGAAGCCTTGAGCCGTCGTCCATGTCGGCCTGCTTGAGTGTCGCTTCCCGCTCGTCGCGTGCTCTGAGTGCGTCCAGCGCCTCCCTCTCGATTTTGCGCAGCATCGTCCAGGGCCCGTCGACCAGGTGCGGCGCGATAACAGACTCGAGCGGCGCTGCATTCGTGTTGAGGACGGGGGACGTTGCTGACGAGCTTCCAGTTGGATGTCCTCCCAAGCTTGGCTCGGTCGGTGGACCTGTCGCCGCCGAGACTGAACCGGTTGAGGTTGGACCCGCGGACAAAGGCAGTGGGCGGGGGAGAGAGTAGCGCCTTTGCGCGACAATGCGCGCAGGAAGCGCAACTTTGCCGTTCTCGTCAAGGCGGAGAGCGTTGCCTGGCCGGACAAGTTTTCTTGTCGTCAGGATCAAGTCTGGCATCAAGAGGCGGGCAGAGCGCAGAGAGCACTCACTCGTACTTGTGAGAGGTGGCACAATGTTCATGTTCCCGCTCGTAAGCCCCGCAGCCACCACGGTCGGATCTTGCGAGGTCGAGTTGGGGCCGATGCGCGCCGCCAAGCCGTGCCGTCGAGCGGTTGGGAGGCCCTTGATGACGTGATCCCGTACAGCGTTCGCGTGTGCATCCTTGGTGTTGTCACAGATGTGGATCCGCCACTGGCCGCAGGTAACGTACGCGTCGATTTGCAGCTCGAAGCGCTCCTTCTGCGTGCTGTTGCTGGCATCTTTGCGCAGGCACTGAATGCACTGACCTATGCCAATCGCGCCCGCAATGGTCGTTCCAATCTCTTGCCGCTTGCGCGCCTGGATTTCGAGTTGCTCGCGGCGGCGCATCTCGGACCGAGCCGCGACAGCGAGACTCTCCCCTTGTGCCTGGACTAAGAACCACCTCGCAAAGTCGTCGGACGTGGCGAGCATGCACATTGTTGCAAAGTCGCTTGGGAGCGATGTCTGGTTCAACCGGACCGAGACTAGCTGCGCGACTCGCGGAGCAGAAGAGAGGAGGTCGCTGTTGTCGATCGCCGCTGGATTCGAGCCTCCGGCGGTCAAGCTTGTCGAAGGCGAGGACGAGGATATGGCGAGGAGCTTGACTGCGTCTGCGATCGCATCTTCCGCGAGAGGAGGGCCGTCAAAGACGACACTCGAGCTGCGGAGGACGGCGGACGTGCTCTGCGCACTCCGGAGGGCACCAAAGCGTTGACCGAGGCGGTGCTGCGCCTTGTCGAGCTTGATCGCAAGACTGATATCCTCACAGATCTGGTCGACGCTCCTCTTGATCTGCTCGAGGTTGATGCAGCCCGCGAGGCGGTGTTCGAGGTGAACTTTGCGCGTGATCTGCAGCTTCACCTCGATAATTGCAGCGAGACGAACGACGAGGTCTTGTACGGCAGGGTAGTACTTGATAAAGCCGCAGTCGATCTGGTCGAGGTGCAACATCTCGACGCCGAGAGGCCCCTCGACGACTTCGAGGGTGCCGACAGAGGCGAGCCAGTCCTTGGCCCAGAGCTCCTTCCACTTGTGCTCCGCTGGTGGTGCAACGTGTTCAAGGAGAGTCCGGGTCGTTCGGGTTTGGACACCCAAGAACGCTCGTTGTTCCGGCGTATCGACGGTTCCGATCGCGGCACCGATCATCCCCCGGCGCACAATTGAGGACAGCTACGCAAGAGAGAGCAGGTCAGTAGTGGCGACAGGGAATAGACTTGTGAAATCGACACGTACCTTCGACGCATGGGTGACAAGAATGGCCGGCTTGACGAGGGCGAGGAGCCGCGCGACAAAGACAATCGCAATACGCACGAGCTTGTGTCGCAGCTGAATCGACCACAAGTCGACGTATGCAATGAGGGCGATCCACCCGAGTACCTCGTCGACCGGCTCTTGCAGGACGCCGCGTGCAATGACATAGCCGGCGTGACCGCCCCGACTCGCGCGAGGACCGAAGAAAGCCTCGCGACCGACGAGCGAGGAGCGGGTAACGTCTTTCCCGACGACAAAGACGTCGGTGGAAGCATCCTCCTCTGGGGCGAGTACGCCTCGCTGCGAAAAGCTCGTCGCCGCCTGCTTGATG